TCTTCCAGTTGTGCTGCTGTTCTCACATTAGATGAAGGTTTACAGAACAAAATAGTTTCTCATTAACTATCTGTTCTGTAAGCCTTCACCTGAAGTACAATAAAATATTTAAAAAAAAAAAATAGTTTCTCATTAAACAGTACATATGTTGCCCTATGACAATGGTTAACAACCCCACTACACGTCGTAACTGTCCTTACTCAACCTTGGGTTCCCTATCACCAGCTTTCCTGTCCTCTTCTGTCATCAGGCAGGATTTTTGTTGAGTATTGCTGGTCATAAAAAATGAAGATTATGATGAGGAGTATATTCTCCTCCTTTAGTGGTTGTAAGTATTTGAGACAGGTGAAGAATTAAGAAACATGAGTTGGAACTAGTACACATCCGTTTAGGAGTATATCCCAATTTCAAAAGGTAAACATGTAATAAGAGGCACATTTGGAGGAATTTCTTTGGCTATAAGGCAGAAATTTTCATCAAGATTGTGTGGAAAACAACACGGGCAATCCTAGTTGGTCTGATAGAATGTGATGTTGCTGAACAATCTTAATATAAGCGGTGAGGGATTTATAGAGATCACATACCCAGTGTGTGTGTGGTCTGTGCTGGATGGGATGTTGGTGATTTGAAGCACAATTTTTACTACCAACAATCCACACTTCTTAAAAGGTTGAAGAATTCTTGGAGCACAAACCGGGTATATTCCCAACGTCAGAACACCAAGTTTAACGAATGACAGCAAAATGAGAGGCATGTGTAATGAAACTAATCAGAATACTCAAATCTTAGAGGGTCAGCCACACTACAGTGTTGCAAAAAGTACCTCATCTTTGGCAGTAATTATTTTAAAAAGTAAAAGAGTCAAGTAGGGTGTCCCAGGGTGGCAGAAAGGGTTAAGGTTACTAGCTGAAAGATTGGCGGTTTGAATCCACCCAAATGTGCCTTGAACAACAGCCTTGTGATTTGCTTCTGAAAGGTCACATCGTTGAAAACCCTATGGAGCAAATTTAAAGTGACTAAATTTTTTTTTTTTAGTAATTTTTAAAGCTCCTCAGGTGATTCCAGTGTGTAGCCAAAGTTGAGAATCACTGCACTAATGGGTCACAACATGAAGTTTGAAACACTAACTGATAAAAAATGTGTGATTGAGTTGGTAGTATTGTACCAATGCTGTTTTTTTAATTCTACTTTAGATGAGAGTTTACAGAACAAACTAACTTCTCATTAAACAATTAGCACACATATTGTTTTGTGATGTTGATTACCAACCCCACAGCATGTTAACACTCTCCCTTCTCGAGCTTGGGTTCCCTATTACTAGCTTTCGTGTCCCCTCCTGCCTTCTAGTCCTTTCCCCTGGGCTGGTGTGCCCCTTTAGTCTTGTTTTGTTTTATGGGCCTGTCTAATCTTTGGCTGAAGGGTGAACCTAAGGAGTGACTTCATTATTGAGCTAAAAGGGTGCCTAGGGCTCATACTCTTGGGGTTTCTCCAGTCTCTGTCATGCCAGTAATTCTAGTCTTTTTTTTGTGAGTTAGAATCTTGTTCTACATTTTTCTCCAGCTCTGTCCAAGACCGGCTATTGTGATCCCTGTCAGAGCAGTCAGTGGTGGTAACTGGACATCATCTAGTTGTGCTGGACTCAGTCTTGTGGAGGCTGTGGTAGTTGTGGTCCATTAGTCCCTTGGACTAATCTTTCCCTTGTGTCTTTGGTTTTCTTCGTTCTCCCTTGCGCCCGAAAGGGTGAGACTGGTGGAGTATCTTAGATGGCCACTCAGAAGGTTTTAAGACCCCAGATGCTACTCACCAAAGTAGAACGTAGAACGTTTTCTTTATAAACTATGTTATGCCAGTCCAGCTAGATGTTCCCCGAGACCACGGTTCCCACGGCACTCAGCTCGGTAATTTGGTTCCTCATGGAGTTTGGATGTGTCCATGGAGCTTCCATGATAAAGTAAGTAAATTTAAGTGTCATGTTTGAGAAATCACTGGGAGCTCCAATGCCATTAGCATAATCTCTTTTCTTTTTTTACTATTTAGAAGAATTCATATGATTTTTGTTTTGTTTTGTTTTGTTTTGTTTTGTTTTGTTATGGAAGCAGTCCTTTTTCTTTTTTCTTCATATTAATAATAAGGTGATCCAGATCCAATTACCTTAAAAAGTCCATTCTTTACACACAGCCTTTCCTCAAATGTGATTTTATTTCTCTAGGTTAGTACAGCCTAAGGTTGGCATTAAATCTTTGAAATACCCACTTTTCTGTCTATATCCCCATAGTATCTAAATTTCCCTCCTTTCACTTACACACTGAGACCAAGAAACTAGGTTTCTTTCTTTTTTTTTTGTTGGTGTCATTTCATGCTATCTTTTATGTGCGTGGTAAAATATAACAAAACCTTTTCCTATTTCAACCGTTTTTACAGGTACAATTTAGTAACATTAATTACTTTCATCACGTTGTGCAGCCATCAGCACTGTCAGTTTCCAAGTTTTTCCGTCACCCTTAGCAGAAACTTGGTACCTCTTAGTCATTAACTCCGCCTTGTCCCTCCCACCCGCCCCTGGTAACCATTTGGGTTCTATACGTTTGCCTATTCTGGATATTTCACTGAAGTGCGGTCATACAATATTTGTTCTTTTGTGTCTGACTTGGCATTGTGTTTTCAAGGTTCATCCACGTCATAGCATTTATGAGAACTTCATTTCTCTTTATGAGTGAATAATATTCCATTTTCTTTATCTATACATCTGTCAATGGACATTTGGGCTTTTTTCCACTTTTTGGCTATTATGAATAGTGCTGCAGTGAACATTGGTGTAAAAATACTGGTTTGTGTCCCTGCTTTCAAGCCTTTTGGGTATATGTACCTGTTTTTGTTGCTAGGTGCCGTTGAGGCAATTTTAGCCTTATCGCGACTCCATGTGACAGAGTAGAACTGTGCCATAGGGTTTCCGTGTCTGTAATCTTTACAGAAGCAGACTACCCGGCCTTTCTGCCACAGAGCCGATGGGTGGGTTCAAACCACCAACCTTTTGGTTAGCAGCCAAGTGCTTAACCATTTGCGCGACTAGTGCTCCTAGAAATGGAAATTTCTAGGTCATAGGGCAATTGTATGTTTAACATTTTGAAGAACCACCACACTTTTCCAAAGAGGCTGCACCATTTTGCAATCCCACCAGCAATTTCTCCACATTCTCCCCAACTCTTGTTGTCTTCTGTTTTTCTGATAGTAGCAATCCTCACAGGGATTAGGTAGTTTCTCATGTGGTTTTGATTTGCATTTCCTTAATGACTAATAGCATCAAGCGTCTTTTCATGTGTTTATTAACCATTTGTAGATCATTTTTGGTGAAATGTTGTATATCATCTTTGGTGAAATGTCTAAGTTTATTGCCAATTTTTAGTATTGTATGTTGTTGAGTGGTGGGAATTCTTTATATATCATTTCCTGTACTCTGAAATACCTTTAGTAGTAGTGGTGTTTACTCTTCTCTGAAAGTTTGGTAGAATTCTCCAGTGAAACTATCAGGGCCAGGGCTTTTTGTTGTTGTTGTTGGGAGTTTTTAAATTACGTTTTCAATCTCTTCTTTTGTTACAGGCTTAGTTAGTTGTTCTACCTCTGTTTGTTGTAGTTTAGGTAGGTAGTGTGTTTCTAGAAATTTGTCCATTTCCTCTAGGCTTTCAAATTTGTTAGAGTACAGTTTTTCATAATATTCTGTTATGGTTCAATTTCAGTTGGGTCTGTTGTGATATCGCCCATCTCATTTGTTATTCGGATTATTTGCTTCCTCTCCTGTTTTTCTTTTGTCAGTTTGGCCAAGTATTTATCAATTTTGTTGATCTTTTCAAAGAACCAGCTTTTGGTCTTGTTTACTCTTTCAATTGTCTTTCTATTCTCAATTTCATTTAATTCTGCTCTAATTTTTATTATTTCCTTTCTTCTGGCACCCGAGGGCTTCTTTGGCTTCTCTCTTTCTACTTGTTCGAGTTGTGGAGTTAATGTTTTGATTTTGACCCTTTCTTCTTTTTGGATGTGTGCATTTATTGCTATAAATTGGTCTCTGAACACTGCTTTTGCTGTGTCCCAAAGGTTCTGTCTGGAAGGGTGTGTTTTCATTCTCATTTGATTCTGTGAATTTCTTTATTCCATCCTTAATTTCTTCCATAACCCAGTAGTTTTTGAGCACAGTGTTGTTCAGTTTCCATGTGTTTGATTTCTTTTTCCTTGCCTTTTCTGTTACTGATTTCTGCTTTTATGGCTTTACAGTCAGAAAAAATGCTTTGTAATATTTCGATGCTTTGGATTCTGTTAAGGCTTCCTATATGGCCTAATATGTGGTCTGTTCGGGAGAATGTTCCATGTGCATCGGAAAAAGAAGTATACTTGGCTGCTGTTGGGTGGAGTGTTGGGTATATGTCTATGAGATCAAATTGGTTGATTGTGGCATTTAGATCTTCCCTGTGTTTATTGAGCTTCTTTCTAGATGTTCTGTCCTTCACCAAAGGTGGTGTGTTGAAGTCTCCTATTATTGTGTAGCTGTCTGTCTTTCATTTCAATGCTGTTAGAGTTTGTCTTATGTATTTTGGAGTCCTGTCATTGGGTGCATAAATATTTATTATGGTTATGTCCTCCTGGTGTATTGATTCTTTAATCAGCATATAGTGTCCTTCCTTATCCTGGTGGATTTTACTTTAAAGTGTATTTTGTCAGAGATTAATATTGCCACTCGTGCTCTTTTTTGAGTGTTGTTGCTTGATATATGTTTTTCCATCCTTTGAGTTTTAGTTTGTTTATGTCTTTAAGTCTAAGATGTGTCTTTTGTAGGCAGCATATAGATGGGTTGTGTTTTATTATCTATTCCGCCACTCTGTCTCTTTATTGGTGCATTTAGTCCTTTTACATTTAGTGTAATTATTGATAGGTAGGAGTTTAGTGCTGTCATTTTGATGTCTTTTTGTGTGTGTGTTGTTGGCAGTTTCTTTGTTCCACTTAATTTTCTGTGCTGAGTTGTTTTTCTTTACTTTCTTTTCATCGTTGTTGATTTTGTATTTGCTGAGTCTTTATATTTTTCTTGTATTTTATTTTGATGTGTGGGATTGTTAGTTTCCTTTGTGGTTACCTTAATATTTACCCCTATTTTTCTAAGTTTAAACTATTCTTTTATTTCCTTATATCACCTTGATTTTCTCTCTGTATGAAAGATTTATGACTACATTTTTTAGTCGCTCTTTTTTGTTTTAATGTTGTCATGTTTTACATACTGACATCTGTGTTTCCCTCTTTTCAGTGTATTAACTTTGTTTTTGTGATGTCCCTATCTGGGTTGATATTTGGTTACTCTGTCCAGTGTTCTAGTCTTGAGTTTTTATCTGATATTATTGATTTTCTAACTGGAGGACTCCCTTTAGTAATTCTTGTATTTCTGGTTTGATTTTTGCAAATTCCCTAAACTTCTGTTTATCTGGAAATACTCTAATTTCACTATCATATTTGAGAGACAGTTTTGCTGGATATATAATTTTTGGCTGGCAGTTTTTTTCCTTCATGTCTTTATATATGTCATCCCATTGCCTTCTTGCCTGCATAGTTTCTGCTGAGTAGTCTGAGCTTAGTCTTATTGATTCTCCTCTGTAGATGACTTTTCGTTTATCTCTAGCTGTTATTAAAATTCTCTATCTTCGGTTTTGGCAAGTTTGATCATAGTATGTCTTGGTGACTTTCTTTTGGGATCTATCTTACGTGGGGTTCGATGAGCATCTTGGATAGATATCTTCTTATCTTTCACGATATGAGGGAAGTGTTCTGCCAACAAATCTTCAACCATTCTCTCTGTATTTTCTGTTATTTCTCTCCCTCCCCCCACCCCCACCGTTCTGGTACTCCAGTCGCTGGTAAGTTACTCTTCTTGATAGTGTCCCACATAATTCTTAGGGCTTCTTCATTTTTTAAAATTATTCTTCAAATAAGTTGGTGTCACGTGCTTTATTTTCAATCTCACTAATTCTGACTTCCATTTCCTCAGTTCTGCTCCTATGACTTTCTGTTGAATTGTCTGATTCTGAAATTTCATTGTTGATCTCTGGATTTCTGTTTGCTGTCTCTCTGTGGATTCTTACAGCCAGTTAAATTTGTCATTTTGCTCCTCTATAATCTTCTTAAGTTCCACTATTGCTTTTTCTCTATGTTCCTTGTCTTGTTCTACGTTTTGCCTGATCTCTCTCCTGATTTCTTGAAGAGTTCTGTATATTAATCTTCTGTATTCTGTCTTTGGCAATTCCAAGAAGTTCTCTTCCTCTGGAAGGTTTCTTGATTCTTTGTTTTGGGAGCTTGCTGAAGTCATCGTGGTCTGCCCCTTTATGTGATTTGATATTGACTGTTGTCTCCAAGCTATCAATAAGTTATTTATTTTATGTTTGCTTTCTGCGTTCTAGTTTCTTGTTTTATGTCGATAAGCCCAAATAGGCTGCTTATGTGAGCTAATTTGATTATTGGTGCCTTTGAAGCTCTAATGTCCTGTCACCAAGTGGTTAGATCTGTTACTAGGTATGTGAGCCCAGGAGTCCGTTTACTTGTATGGATTCAGCTCAGGTGTCCAGGTAGTCGGTCACCAAGTGTGTGGTGCAGGCTCTCACCTACAGTCCTACATGGGCAGGGGTGATTGGTGTTGGCACAGGTATCTGGCCGCAGTAGGGGGTCACCTGATGAGCAAAGCAGGGGGCTGACAGCTGTCCCTGAGTGTCTGGGAGGAAAGTGTGTCCCTGTTCCCTAGAGCATGTAGGTGGGTGGATTTTGCAGCTGGACTGTGGGGACCCAATGCTGTTGTCTGTAAGAACTGGGAGGCACTACTTATTCTTGGACCCCTGTCATGGATGGCTGGATGGTGTGCGTGAAGCCACCAGGCCTCAGGCCTCTGACGCGGGTAGATGAGGACCCTGTTTAATGGGCAGAGCAGTGTCAAATGTCACGAACCTACTACTCCACCGTATAGCTGATACAGTTGAAGTTATGCTTCAGGTATATACCCTGTTGTACTGTGCTATTGAGGGCCTGTGCTGTTGAAATGGGCCCACACAGGTCTGTGCAGGGGTGAAAAACATTCAAAGTCCGTGGACTCCTTATGCCTGTGCCTAAGCAAAGGAGCTGCGCCTGCCCTGAGTTCCCAGCTTAGGGGAGCTGGCAGATTATTTTTTCCTGTTTGTTAATTTGTTCCCTCTCCAAGGCCAGGAGAATGGCTCAGGACACGTGACAGGTCCTGCTTCTGGCTGAGGGGATGCAACAGTTGCTGAAGCTGGCCTGGGACCTGGTGCAGAGCAGGGAGGGGCAGATAAATGGGAGAGAGATTTTTCCCAAGGCGGGTGTGTTTTGATCCGTGCGGTAGGTCAGATGCATGTACTCATCTTTTGCCGATTGTACGCTGCTTTTCACTGGTTCTGGAGACCTGAATAGACTCTGCTGCTGGGTCTCTCCCGATGTGGAAAACACCTCCCGAGTGCCACTGCTTGCCTCACTGCTCACATCAGCTGATCTGGGCTGAAGGGTGCCAGCTCCCACTGGGTCCGGTCTGGCAACTCCTTGCTGCTTCTGAACCGTCTCTCCCCTCCGCCGCTCAGTCTGATTCCTCAGCTTTGCCTTTGATGTTCAGGGCTCCTAGATTGTCTTATGTAATTGATTCACTTGTTTTTTCAGGTCTTTGTTATAAGAGGGACCACCACAAGTGTCTGACTACTCCGCCATCTTGGCCCCGCCCCATCTCTTGACACATTTTTTAAAAACTTTTTCAAAGATGCCAAGATTTTCCCTGCTTTTCAGCCTTTGTACCAGGTATTTCTTCTGATTAGAGAAAACATTTTAACCATGGGAATTCAATAATTCTTAAAATTCAAGTCTCACTTCAAATGTCATCTCCTCAGAGAGTGTCCCTCCTGTCCCCCCAGTTACTCTCACTAATTTCTATGTTCAAATATTATTGCAGTTTTTAGAATGAGGCATATCTGGTTTAGATTGACATTAACCATCATCTCATAAATACAAGCCAATTGAGTTGAATGTTACCTTTGCTTTTATCAGTTCTGTTTCCGTTCATGACAGGCTTCCAGCAAACAAAAAGCTGTCAAGCTCTGCATTGCGCTGATGGCAGCTTTCACACCCTGTCTGCTGTATTGGTGGCTTAGCGTTCTGGTGAGTCCAATAGAGCTGTGATGTCCACTAGCCAGGTATTGCTATTTCAATTAAGATTAATTAAAACTAAAAGAAACAGTTCAGTTCCTTAGTTGCACTAGTCATATGTTCAGCGCTAAATAGCCACATGGGGCTAGTGGCTACCATACTAGACAGTGCAGAAACAGAACATGTCTACCTTCACAGAAAGTTCCCTTGGGTAGTGCTGCTCAGGAGATATGCGACAGCTGATACTCTGTGTGTGTCCTCAGTAATCAGTGTCATAGGCCAGAAGGAACAAGAAAACAAAATACGTAGTGTCTGCCCATAGATTTATAGTCTGGCATGGGAGACAGTTTTAAATAAATAATGAAAAATCAGAGATATGTGATACCTGTAATAAAAGGACCTAATCCAAGAGTCAGGTTAGACTGCTTGAAAAGGAAAATTATTTAAGTGAAGATTCAGAAAATTAGTTTTATTAAACTACAAGCATGATTGGGTAGGGCTGATAGCATGTGGTATGAGTGGGTATGGAAAGAGTATTTCAGTTGGGAAAAATGAGTATGAAGTCACTGAGGTGGCAGAGAACCCAATATCATCCATTCCTTGATGAAACCAGAGCTATTTGAAGCAGAGAAAAAGAAGTGTAGATAGAGGGTGTGGGGGTTTGTGTAAGCCAGATTGAAGGAGGTAGAACCACGCTGACTACTCTGGGCTTTTTGAAGGCCAGTGAACAGTCACTGACGGGCGTTACACAGTTCCTAGGCTGCAAATAGATTTTGGAAATAGCAACCATGATTGAATGACGTCAGGCAGGAGCTTGTTATGAACAAGTTAAGGAAGTGTGTGAGGAGGCCTAGACGTGGAGATGGGTTGCAGATCAGGAAGATAGTGCAGTGACATAATGTACACGCAGATGGTTCAGAGGGCATCCGTTTATAGAATGCTCCTTCCTTGAGTTACAGGCTTATAGATCAGTGAATGCTTCTCATACTTGAACGTCAATGTAGATCACCCGGGGGTTTTGTTAAAATACGGATTTTGATTCAGCAGTTCTGGGATGGGGCTTGGGATTGTACATACTTAACAAGCTCCTAGTTTATTCTGGGAATAAGTCTAGAAATAAGGATTTGAATTAAAATTAGAGAGTGCTGTTAGGGAAAATAATAAAAGGAAGAGTAATGCTTAAGGGGAGACACTGGGGTAAAGATCATGTGTGAGAGAGAGAGAACATTTATACTGATGTAAAGATCATGTGAGAGAGAGAGAGAGAGCATTTATACTGAGACCAAAAAATGAAAGAACAGAAGTCAGCTTGGAGGGGAAGCAGGGTGGAAAGAAATGGAAACAGAGGTGGGAGACAGCTCCTCAGAGAAAACTCAGTGATTTTCTGATTTGTTGACTGATTTATCATAAAATTGAAGGACAGAATTTTCAGGAATCTTCCCAGATTTCTCAGAAACTTAGGGACCAGTGGTGTCATGGTTTGAGAATGAAGGGGGGTGGGGAGCCTCAAAGAGAAGAAAGAAACGTTAATTGTAAAAATAACAGGAAAAGTGTTAATTACATATTACAGTGCTATTCATGAAGTGAAATTTTTTTTAAAAAGCACAATAGAAGGGTTTTAACTGCACATTAAGTATAAATGAATGAACCATGGTGAGTTCATTGACAGAACTTGAAAAATATGTTCTTCCTGACAATTCACCCATGTTAATATCAAATACCAGTGCGTGTGTTGATTGGTAAGGGACAAACTTACATAGGTGAATCCACAACTCTGACACTGGACCCCTGACTCCCTGGAGGAAATCAGGTTCAAGTTTCCCAGTTTGGCCAGGCCTAGTTGCTTCTCATGCTCTGGGATAAGTAAATTCCTCCGTCTGTGATCTTGTTGCAGACAGAAGAGGCCCATAGAGCTGTGCAAAGAATGCAGGTCCTCTGGAGGCTGGAGCTTGTTCTGCCTTCAGTGCAAATGCCCTCGGGGTGGACCATTGCCCTGAGCCTGGGAGGAAGCCAAAAACTTGTCACTCCCTGCTTACTCTACACTGTTTCTTCCCCATTCTTCCATTTCAGATCCCAAGTGTGGTGCAGGAAGAACTAGTCCAGTCCAGGAAGCTGAAGACCTACGGCCGCCATCTTGCACATCCCTAAATCACAAGTAAGGATTTCAGCTGCTCTGACTGGTGTGTGGACCAAACATTCATCTTCCTCCAAATGGCCCAGTGCTCTGCTTCCACTCCCATTCCTCTTCCTGAAGTGGCTTCTTGGGCTTAGAGACAACATTCACTTAGCCTTCCAGTGGATCCAGGAAATGGTGAGTTCTATGGAGAAATGCATTATTCTTACCGTAAGTGGGTGAGGCTGGATATGAATTGTTGGGGCACCAGCTATGTGCTGTGGGACTGTGGTTCCTCAGTGAAGAAAAATGTTGCAGAGGAGGCCAAAGGACTGAGCCCTAGGAGGCATCCTAAGGCCCTGCTCCACTGTCACTGGGACCTATCTCTTCACATATATGGCTTTTCAAGATTTGGATGCTTGGGGTCACATTCCTTATGTGACTCTCAGAGCTGGCACCATGGGACGTGAACATCCCCACTCTGGGCCTTGGTGCTCTGTGTTAATGATAGAGTCTCCTGCCCAGAGCCTGAAGACGGAACAGCTCTGGTTGTGGAGGCTGAGATCCGACCTTCCAGAGCCATCCTTGTCCCATCTCTCTTAACAGTTTTCTTGACTTCTCCCAGGCACTGGAGCATTTTTGTGCAGTTCTAAAACTATAGCTCTACTTCTCACATTGTGTTATGGGTTAGAAAGGGGTGGGGTGGGGAGTTTGTAGATGAAGGATCTCACGGTTTATGGGGTCCTGGGATGTGCTGGTGCTCTCCTGATATCACCAAAGGCATGAAGCTGGGGATAGTGAGTCCAGCTGGATCCTGTGTGGGGTTTCCAGACCCATTTTTTTTTTCCCCTAGTGGGGAAGTCTTTTGCCTTGAGGCTTTCATGTGTGTGGAAAGCATGAATCCTTAATCTAGGTCCTTGTCCTCCCACCTACACCTAGAGCTAGTATTTAAATCTAATTTGTGATTGTTTTCCATAGTTTTGAATTAGAATCTAAGTTAAAGTGTTTTCTTTTGCTGGAGAAGCTCAACATATGAGATCCTCAAACACAGAGGAATGCCTATTTTAACAGCTGTATAAGTTACTCTAAAGCTTACTTAAATCTTGAGAAGGTTCTTAAAGACTCTTATTGTAACCAAACGCCTCTCTGGTTCTTGTCCTGTCTCATCAGCCAATTGAAATAAGACACCAATTTCAAGGGAAACAAAGTGGCAAGTTTATTATCTGTGCAGATAAGGAGTGACGAGAAGACCGGGAGCTCCCTGAGCTGGGGACTTGGGCATCTTTTATGATTCCAGGTCTTAAACACCTCAGTCCCCCTTAGCCTGCCCATTCTTGGAATTCCCCTCCCCTGTCCAAGTTTGGGAGTCTGGTTGCCAAGTCATCTTGGGCCAGATGTACTGGTGGATGGACCTCTTACTCCAGAATGGGGTCCGGGTACAACGGTGGGCTGGTGGGTGTGCTCCCCTCTGGAGGAAGGAGGTTCTGAGGTCAGGTTCTGCACAGGCGTGGGTATCTGGTTGGAGCTGGTTCTCAAAGGGCAACCTTCTGGCCTGGAAAACGTTACTAACAAAATGTTGCCTAGAGCATATCAGCGGTTAGTCTTGAAGAAAAGGGAGTGAACAGATCTTGCACAACAAGTCTGTCTTATCCTGGGGTGCCTCTCAGGAGTCCTTTAGCCTTGGGGTGCCTCCCAGGAGCCTCTAGCTAGGGTTTCACGGTTACATTTAGTAAGTCATGCCAGAACCCCTAATGTGTTAAATATTTTAGAAACATTCTCCTGGCTAAGATAAAATGGATGTACAGACTCTGATATCTCAGGTTACTAGGTTTAGAAAGAGAGCTCGAATGATTTGTACAAGTGTATTAGATTGTTTAATAACAGTTGGGTCCTAAATGATTACATTTTAAATGGTTTTATTATTATGAATGTGAATTCCTAGTAAAAACAGTTAATATCCCACTGGAGTTATGTTTACAAGTAACACCGTAGTTTACTGAAGTTATATTTTGCGAATACGTAATACCTTCAAAGTTCAAAACTCAACATTGACTTTAAAAGTGTACTTTATGAAGACTAGTTCCAACTTTTGTCCTCATCCAGCCCATCCCTCTTTCCCCAGCTTCTTTTAAATAAACAGGTTTTTTACTTTCTGAAGCATCTTGCCAGTGTTTATATAGAAGCAAGCAAATAGAAATAGGAATTTTTTATTTCCCCTAGTTTGTGACACAAAAGATAGCATGGAATTTACACTTACTTTATAAGTGATCTTTTCATAACAATACATCCAAAAACCCAAAAACCCCAAACTCGTTGTCGTCGAGTTGATTCCAACTCATAACTCTATAGGACAGTAGAACTGCCCCATAGGGTTTCCAAGGCTGTAAATCTTTATGGGATCAGACTGACACATCTTTCTCCCTCGGAGTGGCTGGTGGACTTGAACTGCCGACCCTTTAGCTGGCAGCCAAGCGCTTAACCACTGCGCTTCTAGGAGAGAGCTTAAATCTAAATTATAAAATTCCAGAATACTACGTATGGTTGACCTTGGTTTTTTTGTTGTTGTTGTTTTTAGCTGTATCTCCATGAATGGACACTTGGATTGTAGCCATTATTTTCCTTTTACAACGCTTTTTCTAGTATATGTAAATGTACATTTCTAAGATCCAGGTATTGATAGTTTAGGTATGAAAGCCTTTCTGAACTAAGATAAGTAAAATCAAAATGAAAGGGTTTTCACATGACTCTATAATTACCGTATGAAGATTACATTTCTTTCGTGTTGTAAGTAATGCTTTAAACTTTCTGTTGTCAACTATATCATAAACAAGCAGTGCATAAACTTTTCCTGTATAATTTAAATAGTTGTCTGAGTCACTGATAATAAGTAGACCTTGGTCAGTTTTTATGGCCTTCCAGTGTATGCCTCCTTGATCTCATCTCTTCCTGCCCAGAGATTGTTACTATCTGTATTTAGAGGTTTATGACTATTACCAATATCATTGCTTGTATTATAGCTTTATGACCCAAATCTTAATCCATAAACTGTGTGTTGTTTAGTTTTGCCTCTTGAGATTTCAGTAAATTCAGTTATTACTCTGAGTTCTTCAGTGAGTTGTTTCCTCAGGATGCTTTTGAGTTTCATATGTGGTGTTGGCTGTAGCTGCAGCCTGTCCGTGTGTCGTGCATGTATGTGCCCATTGTATGAATGGGCCACAATCTGCTTACCCATTGTAGCGCCTCCAGGATTTGGGTGGTTCAGGTGCAATTTTTGCTGTGGTGAGGATTGCTGCTCTTCTGTTCATTCTCTTTCCAGGCTCTGTGTGCTCCTGTGTAATAACTCTGCAGGGAGACAAGATAGCTGAGGTGTAGACAATAGCCATGTTCAGATTTACCAGGAAATACTGACAGCTTTTACAGCTTCTTCCCTCACAAAGTATGCATATGTATTTTATTTGTTCCATCTGCTTATCTAATGAATTTTTGCTTTTGTAAAGAATGTGAAATGTTATCTTACTTTAATTTTAATCTGATTACCTTACACTGCTCTACTGCTGACGACGCAGTGCCACATTTTCCCACTGTTAATTTACACTTCTGTGATGTTTTAGATCTTCTTTATAAACTTCGGAAATTTTTCTCCTCGTATATAACTTATCTTTTCACTCATTTTCTCTACCCTTTGATGAATAGTTGTGAATTTTAATATAGTTGAATTTGTTGATCTCTTCCCTTCTGTCTTACTCTTAAGAATTTTTTCTCTATTCTTATGTCATAAGATCATGTTTATAAATTCTGTAAGTATTATAATTTTACTTTTTTGTATGTAAAAATAACCTACCTAGAATTGATTTTTCACATACGGAGTACGTAAGAATAGATTGGGAGCCCTGGTGGTGCAATGGTAAAGTGCTCGGCTGCTAACCGTAAGGTCGGCAGTTTGAACCTACCAGCTGCTCCACGGGAGAAAGATGTGGCAGTCTGCTTCTGGGAAACCCTGTGGGGCAGTTCTGCTCTGTCCTACAGTGTCTCTATGAGTTGGAATCAACTCGATGGCACACAAAAACAACAAGAAGAATTATTCCAATTAGATAGTTAGTTGATTTTTTAAAAAAGCTAGGCGCTGCCAAGTCGATTCTGAGTCATGGTGACCCCATGTGTTTCAGAGTAGAACTGCACTCTCTAGAGTTTTCGGTGCTGATGTTTTGGAGGTAGATCACCAGACCTTTCTTCTGAGGTGCCTGTCAGTGGACTCAAACCACGAAACTTTCAGTTAGCAGCAGAGTGCTTAACCCTTTGCGCCACTCAGGGACTCCATTAATTGACAGTAACCCACATATTGAAGTATATGTGCCTTCTGTCACTGCCTTACGTTGCTTGCTGTGTCATGAATCAACTTTACATAGATTGGCAGCCCTTTTCCAGGGCTATTTGTTTTTTTCCATTGGTCTCTTTGTGTATCCCTATACTGATATTACACTGATATAACTGTGTTTATAAAATAAATATATGAAAGTATCATTATATACATGGTATGTTTGGACAAGCCCCCATGCCTTTTTCCTTAGAACATGTTGACTGTTTGTGGACATTTGCACTTCCAAATACATTTTTAATCTATTTTTTTGTGAAGTCCTAAAAAATAATTGAATTGCTTGGAATTTTACGGAAGTGCATTGGAAATAACAATCTATCTGGGGAGAATAGTTTTCTAAGAGCATGCTTTACCTTTCATTTATTTCAGTCTATTTGGATGTCATTTAATAATGTTTTGTAACTTTTTTCATTGGAATCTTTAATTAGTTACACTCCTTTTAGGTACCTTTTATTTTTACTAAAATACATATTATCTTTTAAAAGTTAATTTCTCAATTGCTTTGTACTAGTAAATATAAATGAAATAATTAAAGTGAACTTTGATATTTGTTTTGTGATCTGAATGTTTGCTAAAATCTCTTAGTCTTATAATCATCTGTACCATCTTTTGGGATTCTACATATACAGTTATTTAATCTGTATAATAAAATGGGGTGGGCCCCCTGCGCACGTTTAACATTGGTATTTCATTACCTTTTTTACTTTCTTGTTCTTTTTTGGCATGTACCAGCTACAACCTTTAGGATAACGTTAAATAGGAATGGAATAATGGGCAGCATTGTTTTCTATCTGCTTTTACTAGGAAAACATGGAATTTTTCA